CTCACCCGCACGCCCTCAGAGCTCGCGGTGTCCCGGGGCCTGGCGCGCTCACAGCCCTCGTGGAAGACCTTTGGCGCCACCCGAGAGGAGCCAGCGCAGGGCAAGGGGCCTGCTGGGCAGATGCTGCTGGAGTCTGTTGCTGTGGACAACGGGGACGGTGACCAGGTTGCCAGGTACGTGCGTGGTTAAGCTGACGTCTTTCTCTGGCTCTTTTGTTTACCTACCTGTTGTGCCGCTGGTTTTGCTGTTCACACATTTCTGTGTTGCATTTTCATGTTCCTGTATCGCACCCCTCTCCTCCCCTTCCCCGTCGCCCCCTACCCACTCTTTTCACAGGGTGTGCGGCGCTGCTGCCTCTGGCCGAGCGGATCAGCTGGTTGACCTGCTTACAGCCTTGCCCTCCCTCGCCCACTGCCACGACTACAACGGTCGCACCCCCCTGGTATTCACTCTCACTGACATCCCTGGTTTTTTTTTCACTCTTTTCCAAACCGCTAGGTGTGACTCCGCCATACACTACTTGCCAACCATCTTTAGATGTGCCCAGGTTTTTGCTCTGGGATGCATCACTGCCATGTGTGTGAGGTGTATCAAGTCTGTAAGGCTGCGTATGTCTTAGTCTAAAGCTACCGCTATTTAATAAATTCCCATGTTTTCCTCGTGAGTGCAGCATGTGGCATCCGCCCATGGCCATGTCAGCTGCATCAATGCCATTCTGAAGTGCAGTGGTGTCGACGTGAATGCTCTCGGTGAGTGCTGCATCAATCAGCCCGTTTCCCACAAACGCTCCTTGCTTACGTGCATATGCATGGTACAATGACCCGCTATGCCCCGCCCCATACTCGTTCCCACGACTCTATCGCTTGTTTAAAATGCAGCCTTTTAACCCCCTCGTGGAGGCAGTGGGGTCAAAATCTTTATTCTCTAATCCTCCTCCACCTCTCTTGTGCAGATCGCGGCGGTTCCACCCCTCTCCTCGAGGCAGTGAAGAACGGCCACACCAAGGCAGCAGAGGCACTGCAGGCAGCAGGTGCCTCCCTCCTCCTCAAGGACCCGGGGGCTACTCTCTGCCGCCTCGCTGCATCCGCATCTTCGGAATCCACCAGCACCAGCACCACCACCGCCAGTGCTAATGCTGCTGGCGGCTCCCCACCGAAAGCCACGGGCAAGAGGGGCGGCAGCAGTGCGGAGTATCTGAAGCGGCTGTTGGCGGCAGGAGCAGACGTGAATGCGCAAGACCATGCCGGCTGCACTGCCCTGCATGTTGCCTGCGCCAACCGCAGCATCGCTGTTGCTAAGGTGAGGCTCTTTCTGTTGCACAGGTGCACTGAGCCACATGTTCTGCCTTGAATTCTCCCAAGGTTCATACGCTCATACTCCCATTCAGTGTTTCACCCACTTCGCTGCTCTCTTGATTCGTGTGTGCTATCTCCTTGTACTTTCTCTCTCCACCCCGACTACCCCCCCCCCCCCCCCCCCCCCCCCCCCTCTCTCCCTCTGCAGCTCCTCATTGCTCATGGTGCTGACCCCCACCTGGATGATATGAGTGGCAACACTGCCTACGACCTGGCAAAGGCAGGAGGGTCTGTGGACCTGCTGAATGAGCTGGACAGCCAGCCACCCACCCCAACGCAGGGTGCCTTTGCTGGCAGCTGTGTGAGCGTGTGCAGGCCAAGCCTTTTCGAAGGCCTGCGCTAGGCAGACTCGTTCAGTGTGCATCTGTGGTTCAACACTCAAGGGCAGGAAATATTCACTCGCTAGCTACCATATTTATCATTACTGGTTTGGGTTTCTGCTGGTGTGAAATATAGTATTCTGTTTTGTTGTCTGGATCTACCGTAGCTGTATCAATTCCGTGGAACTACGGTAAAAGCGAATGTTTTATTGGATAAAATCTGAATTACGGTACAAATCTGAACTGAAAAAAAAATCCTCTGAGATTGGAATGCAAGTGCATCCAAGGCTAGTGTAGATCTGTATTGATGGTGTTGGTTGGACGTTCTGACAAGGTTGAGTGGAAACTCAGAAAACATATATAAAATGTTAATTTCTGAAGGCCATAGTCTGTATAATACACCTGTATATAAAATGTTAATTTCAGGCTGAAACAGTGGTTGTCTCTGGTCTCGGGTCTGGGTAACCAGTCAAGTAAAATCTCGATCAGCTTCGTTTATTAGATTTAAGAGCATCCCATCCGTCCATTTCGTCTCTTACAAAAAAGGTTGCTCAATGTATTTGGATAGCCTTCTAACCCTAAACACATCGGGCACGTGCGTTCACGTGAGGAAACGATGTAGTTACCTTGTGAACGCATTCTATTCAGCTCCATTCGTGCATCTCTCCTGCTCCCTTCCGCACTGCATCTTTTTGACTGAATCGCGGCTTTTTTACTGATCCACAGCAACTGGTCGCTCAACGGCTCCATTTCCAGCTGGGTTGTCTGCTTCGGCGATGTTTCTTTCTTTAAGATCGAATCATATCCGCCTACTAGTATTTCCACCAAAACGTCACATGACGCCATCGTTACACCCCGGCTTTAATACTCTCCCTTTGTACAGCAAGCAGAAAACGTAGGCTGCTTTCGGGGATGCCAGGCTGAGATGTTTCTTTTGCCTGATTCGGGAATCAGTACACGACTTGCAAACAACAGGTTGTGCCAGCACGTATGGCCGTTTGCTAGAGTCGTTCGCACCCGATCAGATAGACGACAAGTTGAGGATGGTCCAGACATCACCGGCGAGTGCAACCTGACCTGAGAGCACCCTCCCAAATCAAAGAGCGGATGTGGGCCTCCACAGAAAAAAAGTTATCCGATGAAAGTCAAGTTGTAACGTCTGCTGCTGACACGAGGGCTGGATTGATGGGGTGGTGTCCACCTGTGTGACCGACCCGTCGAATAGTCCGAAGTCGCCGGATGTGCGTAGTCTCACTCACGTGTCAATCTTTTCATGTCAGGCTGACACCACGTGTCATTGGCTTGCCTAGTCAGCATGCCATTGCCGCTTACGAGGGACCGCCAGGAGCACTGCTGAAATTTCAAAGGGTTTTGAGTTGATCACGCACCCTTACTGAAACTTTACGCCAAAAGCGTAGCACTGTAGCTTATGGCGCAGGGTTTCTACCAGTTTTTCGCTCATAGCGCAGAATTAGCTCCTTTCAACGCAGTTCGATGGTCATTGGGCCACATGTCAGAACGTTAGAGGCCAATCGGTTTTACTGTTAGTGAGAACAGTAACTCTCCAGTCTTGTTTTTTACCTGCTCGGAAAAATAAAGAGCCCATGGAGAAAGGGCATCGACCCTAAACACCCAACATATGGTGTTTAGGGTTGATGACTCCCTCGATGCTTTCCATCGAAAAATAATACACATCGCGAACAATAAAACCGATTGTTTGGGGCATCAACCCTAAACACTTTCGCATTGTGTTTAGGGTTGATGCCTCCCTAAACAGCATGCCATCCGAGAGGGGTTTCTATTTTTGTCTGCCCAAAATACAGGTGTAGACGGTTCGCTGGCCGTCAGTTTAGGCGAAGTTGTCGGTCCGTCGATATTTTGGCCAATGACCATCGAACTGCGTTGAAAGGAGCTAATTCTGCGCTGTGAGCGAAAAACTTGCAGAAACCCTGCGCCAGAAGCTACAGTGCTGCGCTTTTGGCGAATAGTCTCAGTAAGTGTGCGTGATCAACTCAAAACCCAATTTCAAAGGGCCCTGCTTTGACAAGGGCTAGCGGCTTTGAAGCTTGAAACCCTGCTTTTTGACAAGCTGTCAGCCCTTCAAAATTTGTCAAAACGCCTGAATTTGAGCTCATGTATGCAGCCGACGTGTACGGCCATGGAGTTGTGGTACTATTACTACCAGCAGCACTAGTAGTGCTAGAACTACTACTAATACCTCCAATACTATTACCACCACCACTAATAATACTACTACAGTACTGGTTGGTGATGTGCGTGCACTGCCACCGGTGAATTTTTAGGTCTTTCGGTTAACCAGGCGTGGCCTTCCAACCCAGCCTGCCACCAGCTTCAGTCCATCCAGGTGGCGACGTTTGGACTCTACCCCCACTTCCTGACGATACCGGAAGCTGCTTGGCTGGTGACTTTTGAGTTGACTCAAAAGTCACCTCTGTTTGGATGAAACCCTTACTTTCCAGACGATACCCGAGGCTGCTTGCCCAGAAGGCGAGCCTGAAGGGTGCATGAACGTAATGCTTATCCAGAAAGGCGGCGATTTTCTTCCAAGCGCGACACTCAATGGCCCATTGAGAAAACCGGGTTTTGAAGTTCAACTACGAGCTCCGAGCAGTTATATATATTTTTACCCATGGTTCATGCACCTTTTAGCTGGTTTCTCCGTGGCTTTCAGATGCGTATCAAAGCAGGAAATGACATTCCAACACTGACTGACATCATCAAGCGACAGAAGTTCTAGCTCCAAGTCTCTCCTGAGTTCCTCTGGTTGAGCGACAGAAGTCCTAGCTAGCACATTCCTCTGGTACTGCACTGCTACTCTGACACACTCACCCTCCTCAACCTCCAAGTCACAACTTCACCACGGCTCGTAAATTTCAGACTCTAAAGCTGACTCAGCAGGCCTCGGGATAGAGAGACTCTCGCTGAGAGAATCAGCGACATAGAGAGGATCGGAGGTCCCGAGGTGTGACACATCCCAAGGTTCCAGAATTTACTTGGGAGGGTTCGGCAGTCTCAGATTCAAGAATCGTTGGCTGGGAGGTGTCAAACCTCAAGGGTCAAACCTCAAGGGTCAAACCTTAAGAATCGCAGGTTTGGGAGGGCCCGGCAGTCTCAGATTCAAGAATCTCCGGCTGGGAGGTGTGAAACCTAAGGGTCTCGGGTGGGGGTGACAATGGTGGCGCGATCCCGGCATGGTGGACAATTGTGGACTGCGGAGGTAAGCAGCAGAGGGCCTCAGCTTGTCGTCTGAAGCAAGCATGACCCAAGCACTTCTCTCCTCTTGCTCATCAATTCATCACTCCCCATGCTCGTCACTCCTCTCGCTCATCACTCCTCTCGCTCGTCACTCCTCTCGCTCGTCACTCCTCTCGCTCGTCACTCCTCTCGCTCGTCACTCCTCTCGCTCGTCACTCCTCTCGCTCGTCACTCCTCTCGCTCGTCACTCCTCTCGCTCGTCACTCCTCTTGCTCGTCACTCCTCTCGCTCGTCACTCCTCTCGCTCGTCACTCCTCTCGCTCGTCACTCCTCTTGCTCGTCACTCCTCTTGCTCGTCACTCCTCTTGCTCGTCACTCCTCTTGCTCGTCACTCCCCTTGCTCGTCACTCCCCTTGCTCGTCACTCCTCGTGCTCATCACATCATTATTACCCTTGTTTTTTGTTCCCCTTTCGTTTTGAATTCCATCAGCTAAACGATTTCCGTTTCCACTCTTCGTAGGTTTGGAAGGACCTCATTCCACTGCTAGTGCTGCTGCGCATGGCACCGCTCTGAACCGCTTCTCACCTGTCATGTTCCCAATGGAATGCCATTTCCCTTCCTTTCCTCTTCTTTTCAGTACCAGGAGGTCCGCAAGCTGCTGCTGCACGTGGCAGCACATGTTGCCTGCCAATAAAAACTCATTTCTTTCCCAATCCTCCCCCTTTTTTTATTCAAGCTCAGGAGGACCGCAAGCTGCTGCTGCACGTGGCAGCGCACGGCACAAGGCAGTGGAGGGCCGTTGTCAACCGGGGGTTGCTGCCAGGCCGGGATAGCAAGGCCTGCTGCAACCGATTCATCGTGCTCAAGAGGTGAGCTTGACTCGAGTTGACTTTTAAGTCGACTCAAAAGTCAACCCGTTGTCAACAGGGGGCTGCTGCCAGGCCGAGACAGCAAGGCCTGCTGCAACCGATTCATTGTATTGAAGAGGTATAATTCATTGTTCTCAAGAGGTGGTTTTGACGCTGCCCCCGCCCTGCAACCGATTCACTGAGCGCACAAGATAGTCTATCATGCCCACAAGGTGAGGTGGACTTTGACTCATTGCGTCTCGAGCTGTTTTTGACTTATTTTCACACTTCCAGGAGCAATTCATGCCCCCTTTTTTTTGGCAGGAGGTTCTTAGCGGTGCTGTGTTTGAGAATGTGAATGGCTGGACTGTCAGAATTGATTTATTGTGCTCGCAAGGTGTTTCTCTTCACCCATGTTTTCGAGAAAATTTATCGTGCTCGTCACCCATGTTTTCTGACTTGTTGTGTCAATCTTCTCATTTCCTGGCATTCCCTTGTGCTTTAAGATTCTGTGGATGCTACAATGTTGTGATGTCTGCAAGCTTGCATCTTCCTTTCCTCATTACGCAGCTGGTTGCACACTTTCTTGTTTTCCTCAATCCGCTGCATAATGTGGAAATCTCCTCAAACAAGTCTGTGCCGTGTCACAAGCAGGAAGCATGTGTGCGTGAACAACACCAGGTGCCGCCAAGCCATGACTCATTCGGGTCTATCGGCTGCGCTCTAAATTCTTCATTGTTCGTCGTTCCCCCATGAATCAACACAGGAATTTCTTTAAACGCCAGGAGCAACGACTTCATCAGCCCGAAGCAGCGCTACAGGTGATTACTGGCATTCTGTTTATTGAGATCATCCTCTTTTCAACTTTCTTGTTTTTGACACATCTCACTTGATTTATATCAATTGCCATCCATTGCTGCTTGCTTGCTTGTTTTTTATTCGTCTCAACTGTCTCCGAAGCTGGTCCTCCCTTCTCTCTTCCCTCTTCTGCCTTGCGATCCTGGTCCCTTCCAGCTGGACTGTCCGGATGTGCTCGCTGCTGCTTCCGGGGCCGCTTGTGCAGAACCGTCTGTGGAGGGTGATGTGTACGATGATAAGAGCAGGGGCGGCAGCATGCCTTTTGCACCGACTCAAAAGTCAGATTGTGCAGAACCGCCTGCGGAGGCCGCGGGCGGCAGCATGCGTCATGATGCGGCTGGGGGCGGCAGCACCAGTGGCAGCATCGCTGGTGATCATTATGTTGAGGCGACGGGAGGAGGCGTGCTGCATGTCGGTACTATGAGTGATGGCATTGTTGATTATGGCACCACCGGTGTCGGCATTGCTAGTGACAACATCACCAGTGACTGCATGACATGTGTCTCCTTCCCAGCGCATTACCATGAGTTGCTGGGAGGAGGCGTGCTGCATGGCGGCACAGAATGTGGCACAACCGGTGTCCGCGTTGCCAGTGACGGCATGACATGCGCCTCCTTCCCAGCGCATGATACTGAGATGCGGGGAGGGGGCATGCTGGATGGCGGCACAAAGGGTGGCACCACCGCCAGTGACGGCATGACATGCGCCTCCTTCCCAGCGCATGACACTGAGATGTGGGGAGGGGGCATGCTGCATGGTGGCACGAGTGAAGGCAATGCCAATGATGGAGGACTTGTCAACAATGACATCCAGACAGTGGGACCGCCGCAATGCCTACTGTTGCCACAAGGGGACATGCCACCATGCCTCGTGCCGCCACACTCCCTCCTCCCAACACACTCCCTCTCGTCACATTTCTTCCGAGCGCACAACTTACCATCGCGCCTCCTGCCATCTCACTCCCTCCCATCTCACTCCCTCCCATCGCACTCCCTACTACCCTCGTGCCTGTTGTCATCTCACTCCCTCCCATCGCATTCCCTCTCAGCACCCTTCCACCCTTCAGACTCCCTCTCAGCATCCTCTCTCCCGTCACACTCCCTCCCATCACACTCCCGCGAATCACACCTTCTGCCATCACACTCCCGCCCATCACACCTCCTACCATCACGCCAGCTGCGCGGTCTGCCCCCACACATGTGGGGCTACATTCCAAGTAACCCTGGGGAAGTTTGTGAGACGCCTCAAAATTCAAGCCATCTGCGAGGTCTACCCCCCCACATGTGGGGTTACATCCCTGGAACTGCTGGGGAAACACACACATGGGACCACCAGCCCAGTCCCTTCCTTCATCCTGCACCTCCACATACTATTCGAGGCCATTCTCTCAGTCTGCCGGCTGAGTCCGGAAACAGCGCGTGGGATTCAACGCAGCCAATGCAGTCAATGCAGTCAATGCAGCCAGTGCAGCCAGTGCAACCAGTGCAGTCCACGCAGTCAACAGAGGTCTTTCTCAAGGCGACTCACGGAAAGGCAACAGGAGCCATCGACTCTCTCCCTTTCACGGAGCTAGTTGCATCCCCTTCACCCATCATTTCAGCGCTTTCACCCGTGCCGGTCCCAGTGACTCAAAATCCAGTGTCTTCACTGGCAGCAGCAGCAGCAACTGTGTCAGCAGCAGTGCCAGCAGAAGAAACTGTAGCACCCGCATCAGTAGCAGCAGCGCCTTCACTGTCAGCAGCAGCAACAGTGCCAGCAGTAGCAGCAACAATGACAGAAGCAGTAGCAACAACAATGCCAGCGATAGCAGCAGGGGCATCATCAGTACCATCAGGTGCAGCAGCAGGAGGAGGAGCAGGAGTAGCAGCAGGAGGAGGAGCAGGAGGAGCAGCAGGAGGAGCAGCAGGAGGAGCAGGAGGAGGAGGAGCAGGAGGAGCAGCAGGAGGAGCAGGAGGAGGAGGAGCAGGAGGAGCAGCAGGAGTAGCAGCAGGAGGTGGATCAGGAGGAGCAGCAGCACCAGCACTGGTAACGGCAGCAGCAGCAGCAACAGTTGGCCGTTGGGTTGCAGAATATTGCAAGGCTGACACGAACCGTCAGCTGTTCCAAGTATGGGATGCACTCACGCCTGCACCACCGCCAGCAGCAGCAGCAGCAGAAACTGACATAGGCTGTTCGGTTGCAGCAAATCTCAAGGCTGCTGACACCAGTCATCAGCTATTCCAATTCCAAGTATGGGATGCACTCACGTCTGCAGCACCCGCATCTTCCTCCCTTCACCATCCCGTTCCCCAGCCCCCAAGGCACAACTCCCTGTCACCGTGCATGCATGGTGGCAGCGAGAATGAAATGGAGGACAGGGGCACTAGCACGGGCGTGGATGTGGGCATGCGCATACATGTGGGCATGGGCATGGGCATGGCCGACGGCATGAGCAGGGGCGTAGATGAGGAGAAGAGCATGGGTGTGGATGTGGGGATCTATACTGCCATGGACGAGGGCATGATTAAGTGCGTGGGCATGGGCATGGCCGAAGGCATGAGAAGGGGCGTAGATGAGGAGAAGAGCATGGGTGTGGATGTGGGCATCTATACTGCCATAGACGAGGGTATGATTAAGTGCGTGGGCATGGGCATGGTTGAATGCATGCGCGATGGCATGGATGTGGGCATGCTTAAGGGCATGCACGAGGGTATGGGCATGATTAAGTGTGTGGGCATGGGCAAGGTGGGAGGCATGCCCGAGGGCATGCGTGAGGGCATGGGCATGGGCATGGGCATGGTGGGAGGCATGCCCGAGGGCATGCATGAGGGCATGGGCATGGGCATGGGCATGGGCATGGGCATGGGCATGGGCATGGGCATGGGCATGGTGGGAGGCACGAGCAAGGGCATGGATGAGGGCATTGGCGTAGCCATGGCTGAAGGCATGATCACGAGCATGAACAATGACGAGAGCAAGGCCATAGGCACGGGCATGAGCACCCAGACTGCACCTGAACGCATGTATGATTCGAGCTGCAGCAGCCAAGGCCGTAGCCATTCTTGGTTCTCTGCTGATCTGCATTTGCAGCAGAAGGCACAGGTCCTTTCTAGCAGAATCAGAGCCTCGGAGCCTGATGGGTTGATGCGTGAACCGACTTTTGTGTCGACTCAAAAGGCAGTCCAGTTCAGCAGGAGCAGAGCGTCGGATGGTGATGGGTCTCTGCATGGGAATCTAAGAAATTCTCGAAAGGAAGCGAAACCAGATGGATCACAGGAGGAGGATTTGCGGCCAGATGAGCTTCTTGAGGCCATGTGCGGAGGATGTTACTTCTAGTTGAAAAATGTTAATGAGACTAATAAGTTGTGCATATTTGTAATATATATAGCTTCATAGTTTTTTCTACAAAAAAATATCCCCTTTCATTGCTTCACAAGGAATTTATGGTTGCAAAGTGCAAATGTAGGACCCGCCGGAAAAAACAGCCCCGGGTTATGTGAGGACCCCCATTTACTAGTACTAAACATTATTAGACGCCCCCCCCCCCCCCTTCCCTCCACTTCTTTAGTGTTTTTTTTGTGTGGTTAAGTAATCCCTTGTCAGGCAACTACAACGATTACAATCACAACCTACACAATACTCTATGATGCAATACCAAGGCAAGGGCATTCAGCCATCAATACGCACCAAGGCACGGGCATGGCACAGAGAGAGGGAGAAGCGGCTGCTAGGAACTCCATCTCAAACTGCCTGTCCTCTGGGACGTCACAGCCAAGGGCAAACTCACCCCCGGCGGACAGAGGACGGGCAGGCGGAGCAGCCACTACACGCGTGGCGAAGTCAAGGCGGCGGGTGGAAGCAAAGTCAGCGACAGCGGCAGTAAGAGCCGAGACAGATGACGGAGAGGCACGAGGGCCGGTGACAAGAGAGGCGAGAACACGCGAGACAACAGGACGAACAGCACGGTAGTAGTCAGTGATAGGGTGAGCGGAGACAGTGAGAGACGACGTAGGAGGTGGCGGGAGAACAGACACAGGCGGAGCATGACGAGGACTAAAACGAAACAAGACACTGCGGAGGTCGTCAAAAGGAGACAAGGGACGAGCACGCGAACGACAACGAGTGGTCCAGTCGTGCGGGAGAACAGGAGGAGGCGACTGTGACTGAGGAGGAGAGAAAACAGCCGGAGTCGAGTCCGGAGGAGGAAACGTAGGGCCGTACGCGGTAGGAGACTGTGAGTGGACAGGAGGAGCGGAGGGAAGAACAAGGGTTCGAAGGCCACTCACTGGTGGGAACAGCTGCTGCAAAAGTGGCGGCTGCGGCGAACGCTGCTGCTGCTGCTGCTGCTACTGCTGCTGCTGCTGCTGCGGCGGCTGCTGCTGCGGCGGCGGCTGCTGCTGCTGCTGCCGCTGCTCCTGCTGCTCCTGCAGGTCCAACTGCCGCAGCTCCTGCCTCTCCTACTCCAACTACTCCCGCTCCTCACGCTCACGTCGGCGAGCAGCCTGGAGACGTGTGTCGTGGCGGTGGGGAGGCGCAATAGTAGTGCCTCCAGCTCCAGTCTCCTCGGAACTACCACCTCCTGTGCCAGTACCTCATGCTCCAGCACCCCCAAAACTAGCACCTCCAGCGCCAGCACCTCCAGCTCCAGCACCCCCAGGATTAGCACCTCCACCGCCAGCACCTCCAGCTCCAGCACCCCCAGAACTAGCACCTCCAACGCCAGCACCTCCAGCTCCAGCACCCCCTGGACAAGCACCTCCAGTGCCAGCACCTCCAGCTCCAGCACCCCTCAAAAGAGCACCCCCAGAAGGAGTACCTCCAGTGGCAGCACCTCCAGCTCCAACACCCCCGAAGTCCACAGTAACCTGTCGCGGAAGTGCCGAAGGCTGCTGAGGGGACTGTGAGGAGGCCTGCGGGGAGGGAGACGCTACCTGACGCGCGACCGAGGGTAGAGGGGTAGCGTGAGACACACCTGACGGGGCAGGACCAGGGGGGGGCGGGGGTACCGGAGTAGCGGGAGCAGGAGGAGGAGAGGGTGAGAGGAAAAGGGGAGGAGGGGGGACCGGGAGACCTCGACAGGGGTAGCGAGCGTAGTAGGACACGGACTCGTCAAACCGGACGTCACGGGAGTCTCCGAACTGGTGGAGGGGTGGGTGGTAAAAGGTGTAGTTGGGAGAGTCCACCGGGAAACCAAGGAAGACACAGGGGATGGCGCGAGCCGAGAGCTTGTCCGCAGAGGTGTCGCGGACAAGCGCAAGGCAGCCCCAGACACGAAAGGCCGACCCACCACCAGGGGACCCGGTCCAAAGACTGGTCAGTGAAGCCTCTGGCCGCGAGACACGCGGCTGGAGATTCAGCTGGTGGGCGGCGTAGCGAACCGCGTAGGGCCACAGAAAATGGGGCGCACGGGCATGGATCATGGACGTGCGGGCGATATCCATGACCAAGCCAATGCGGCGCTCAGCAACCCCATTCTGCTGTGGGGACTCCGGAAGCGTCCAGGACTGTGAGATGCCCTGTTTGCCGCAGAATCCACGAAGAATGCCGGAGCGAAACTCGCCCCCACGGTCGGAGTGGAGACAGGAGACACGACTGCCACGAGTGCCCTCAGTGGCCAGCAGCCACCGGATCAACGTAGAAGTCACCTCGGACTTCTTCGCGAGAGGAAACACCGTGGTGTACCTGGAGTAGTCGTTGACAACCACCAGAAAGTAGTGCTCCCTCTCAGGTCCCTGCGTAGGGGCAGGGCCCCAGACGTTCAAGTGGAGGGTCTGGAAAGGAGCAGTAGCCGGACGAAGGGAGGAGGAGTGCGGAGTGGCGCGCAGGCGGCCAGCGACGCAAGGAGTGCACAGCAGTGCAGGCGAGGGAGGGAGCGACGCAAAGACGCGAGGGAGACCCGAGACAAGACGGTGACTAGCCATGCTGCGGAGGCGGGGGATCGACGGGTGGCCAAGACGGTGGTGCCACAAGACGGTCGGGTGGGCGAGAGACCGACAGGAGCAAGACGCAGCAACCTGACCTGACGCAGCAACCTGACTACACACAGCAACCGGAGGGGACGCATCAATCTGACCGGACTCTGCTACCTGGGGGGACGCAATTACCTGGCCGAACTCTGCTACCTGGTGGGACGCAGTGTGCAGAACGAAGAGACCCGAGTGGGGCTCCCTGGTGAATGTGGCAAGAAGTGCCACGGTGGAAGCATCCGTACAGTTCGCCGTCCTCCCGTGCGCAGGAAAAG